AGTAAGAAATTTTTACAGAAATTTCTGTTAAATCTAATTATTTCTGTTCTTTTGTTGAGTTCATTGAGCTTCATTTAAAGCATTTTCTATGTTAAATTAACATTTTTATATTCGTTTTAAAATTTTGGTTACTCGAATTTTATATTCCGAGTGACTCAAGTCTTATCTTCACTCGAGTGGCATAAGTTACCAGTGGCTAGGTGACTCGAGTGAAATAAATCACTCGAGTCCCATCACTACACTGACAGTTTCACAAGAAGCCGCCATCTTGTGAAACTGTCAGTGTAGTGATGGGACTGACGTCTCGATGTGTGGTGAGTACGTGTGTTGCGCAGCGTGGCGACGTACCTGTCGCGGGCGCGCGCGCGGGCGCAGCGCAGCATGGCGGCCATCCTGCGCCGCATGCTGCTGCTGCAGGCCAAGGACAAGGACTTCCTGCTCGCCGCCATCGACAAGGTCTCCAATGGAGGTGCGTTATACTCACACTGGATGTTGCTCGCGACTTTGTCCGCCTAAATGGCCTACTCAGTGATAATATAGCTTTTTAATGGTGTTATTTTTGAAATCCTCTTAGTAGTTGTTCAATAAATAAAAAATACAAATCTTCCCCCTTTATAATATTCCTTATAAACTGCATTTCTTGTCACTTATTAATCAATCAGGTAGACCAATTAAGAGTAGAGTAGTCTTTTTTATTTTAATTTTACTGATTTTATAAATGCGAAAGTTTGTGTAGACAGTTGTTTGTTAGAGTTTGTAGCCTAAACTGCTGAATGCATCTCGATGAAATTTAACACTTATGTAGAGCATAGTCTGGAAGAATACATAGACTACTTACTTTTTTTTTATTCCACGTGAACGGAGTCCCGCATAATCTAATACCCCCTGTAATATTATAAAGTAATCTATTTTTAATTTATTTAAGTCAACACAATGGCACCTTAACAGAATGGCTTTACAACCCTCGCGAGGAGGAGCAACCTCCGGACAGTCACACACTAAAGTACCTCCAAGAGGTGCGCAAGCCCTCCAACGCGGCGTACCACTTCGACGTCAGCCGCCTCAACCACTCCCTCTCAGAGACACGCGCGCACCACTCAGGGAACAACCCGCACCACTCAGAGACACGCCCGCACTCCTACCACGTGGATAGACGTAGGTGCAGCGAGGATGGGGAGACTGACAGCTCCTTCAGCTGGCAGGGCTCCGGCAGCTGCCTCAACGTCACTAAAGATGGTAAACTGGAGTAGACCATCGGAGTAGACCAGTTTGGAAGAAAACAAACAATATACTTACGCCTGGTGAACAGTAATTTCGACTATTGAGAAATGAGTAGACCATCTTAGTAGACCAGTTCACTGCTTTGAATTCTCTCATTTTAACTCTTAATAATTGCCTTATAAACTCAATATTTATACTCAGGCTTATTTGGCACTGGAATAGTAATCTAGTCCAGTATTAAAATGATTTTACTAAAAAAAAAACAAAAAAAAACGATAATTTAGTCGATTAGTAAATTATTTGGTACCAATAGTAAAAACTGTCCTGCAAAGAAACCATAGAATATTTCAATACTTTTTCTAATCTACATTTTGTCTATGGTTTAAAAATTCTATTCGTTTGATTTGATCGAAATATATTTGTTCTGTACCATAAAGTATTAGCGATGAATTGATTCTCTTTGAATTGAATTTTCTTGAATTTGAATATATATTTTCATTTGAGTAATTTTACATGTGTCAATTTGATGTCTTCCAAAGTATTAAATTATTTTACTCTGTAAAATTATTGTATAATTTTATTTGGTGCAATTTTGTAGATATATTGTTTAAATTTTTTTTTAATGTAATATTGTCGCTAAAAAAGATAAGTCTGTAGTCTTTAATTGTATGATTGCTTAGGTATTTGATTATTTTATATTACTGATACATAAGGAGTGATTCAGTAGAACTTCGATAAGTTAAAGTTCAAGGGAAATACAAAATATTTTAAGTTATAGTGGTTTTAAGTTATCAACAGTCTGTGTTATAGAGGTTTTGGGCTCTGATGGGAAGGAAACGTATTATTTTTTGAAGTTATAGAGGTTTTTAAGGTATCGAGGTATATGAAATAATTCATCAACAGTACAATTATATTTAAAAAAAACATATATAGTTTAAAAAGTTAATTCACATTAATAAGGGTAAACAAAATGGGAGTAATAATAATATTTTGTCAAAATCTTTTCATACTAATATTATAAATGCGAAAGTTTAGATGGATGTTTGTTAGAGTTTGTAGCCTAAATAGGGGAACGGATTTGGAACAAATCTGGCAAGATATAGAGGATAGTCTGGAAGAACAGATAGGCTTGCATTTGTTTTTTTTACATCCTCGCGGATAGAGTCACAGGCGAAAGCCAGTTAAGAAATATTTTTATATATCTTATTTTAGTGCTACTTATAATGAAATGTGCTAATTTGTGCCAAATATACGTTTTTTTTAATGAAATTATACACTTGAGGTATGTGATAGGTTGTAAAAATTGTTGTTTTACGAAATATTACCAGAAAAATATATTAGCAGTTTCTTATTTAACTTGTAATAATTAATTATAAGATTTAATATAATGCATTTATTATTGTAATAATTTGTATTTTTGAAATAGTTTAAAATTGTATCACTAGTTTTATATGATTTACAAGAATAATTCAAGGAATTTCTAGAATATTCATAACGGAGTTCTTCGTTTCCTATGAAAATGATAACATACGTATTACAGTTTTAAATATGGTCTCCAAAATAAAGTACATGACAATAACATTTTGAACGATTTATATTTCTGATGTGTATTTTTGAGGTTATTTTTTACTATAAAGAAATTTTAATTAATTGAACGTGTTTTATTTTGCGTCAAAATTCTAATCTTTATTGTAAGCGAAACGAGGTATGTTTCCCTTTATTAAACATTTTTTATCACATTTCTGTTTTTTTATTTAGAGTTTATTATTCAAAGTGATAACACCGTAATCAAAATTATTTACCAAGACAGAAGGGACTTGGCAAAGGATGGCGTTTAACGGAGTTTTTTTTTTACTTTACAAAATCGACTCTACGTGTCAACAAGGTGAAAGGGGTGCTGCAAATAGACAGAAAAAATTGCTTTGTAGCCTATCCATTTATAGAGGTCAGTGCCAAGGTCTGATATCTTGTTAATTTAATTATATATTTAAAACGATAATAGCGGGCGCACACCCTTGATTAAACTATCGCACAACGGTTTGTCGATTGT